GTTCGGTAAGATAGTCTGTTAGAAGGGCGTGAGGCAGACCTTTTATACCATATTCATATAGTTTGTTTAACAGGATAGGAATAGAAACGGTGTCGAACGCCTTGGCCAAATCCAAAAAAACTCCGAGACATTTGTTACCAGAGTCCAGTTGCTTACTTATTTCTTCAGTTAAAGCTAACACAGCGACCTGAGTAGAAATTCCATTTCTAAAACCAAATTGGTTTTTAGAATTGGTATCTATGAGATATTTTTCAATCTAATGTTTATTAGTTTCTCTAGTATTTTTGATAGAACTGTTAGCACAGAAATTGGTCTGTAGTTTTTCACATCATCTTTACTTCCACTTTTATGTTTAGGGGTTACTAATGCCCTTTTAAATGTTATGGGAAATCGGCCACTTTTAAAGCAAAGATTGCAGATATGGCAAATTATAGGTGTAAGGGTATGTCTGGCCATTTTAATAAATGATCTAGGAATGTTATCCCATCCTGGGGCAGACTCATTGGAGAGATCGTTTATGACCGAATTTGTTTCCAACGGATCGGTATCTAGAAGAACAAAAAAAAACAGTATTATCTTTATTAACATAGCAAATTGATTTAATATTTTTCCACAGCATTTTCATGTTATTTTTTTCATTATCCAGTTTTCTCCTTTCATAATTATTTTTAAGCTTCCGGACAAGCTTATGACAGTAATTTCTGTAGCGTATATACGGTATTTTTAAAATTTGATTATCAGGATTTTTTTAACTTTATAATGTAGTTTATCTCGATTTCGAAGACATCGTAATACTCCAGGTGTTATCCATGGCTGAATACAGTATTTTTTAACGGGAATTGTGGTTATCGTTTGATTATTTTTCATTGCTACTGAGATTGTACTAACCAACGTATCAGCAGCCAGTGTTGGGTCATGTATGTCTAGTATTTTTATAAGCTTGGACTTTATTTCATCAAGAGTTGTTATATAATTTACGGAAACCTTAGTTTTCGAAACATTGCGGCGCATAGGCTTATTCATAAGTTTTAGGAAAACAGTGGAATGATCAATAGGGGCATTAGTGAGTACGAGAGATTTCGTTGGGTGAACTGTTTTTTGCATCATACGATCATAGCACATTTTGTCGCGAGTTGGAAGACTATGAGCAGGAAGTAATCCATGGTAAGCAAGGTTAAATAATTGGGGCAGTTAGTGTCTATGGAACCGAATTTGATATCTATGTTTATGTCACTGGTTAAAATAATCTTTTGATAACTTTTAGAACGGCAGAGAAAGGTTTGAAGAGATGAGGTGAAGTCGTCAGTGTTTCGTATTGAAGGTGTACGATATATATCTATTAGAACTGTATTAGTTAGGGTAAGCACAAGACAAGAGGCATTTCTAATGCAAGGTTCTGATATTTTGTAGTAAAGTTTCTTATGTAGGTAAAATACCACGCCGTAACACTGATTTAAAGTGTTTTTTGTAAAATTTTTATTATAGTCATTATTAAGTGTTGGGATGGGCTTATTTTTTGAAAGATAACACTGTCATGACTGGTATGTCACAATGAATGTTTAGTGAGTCCAACGTTACTTGAAAAGTGTCAAATTTTTTATAAATACTCCTTATGTTTTGAGTGAGAATGGTTAAATGATTAAATGTAGTTATGTGAGAGTGGCAATCCTCAGGCCTGAACATAAGGGCTTGGGCAACTTCAGTATTGTCTATATATCTGTATTAGTTTGTAGCAAACTATCCATTATTATTCAGAAAGGGCTTTCGTTCCTACTAGTCCGATAACAAATAATTTGACGAGTAGTACTCAGGATTGCATAAAAAGAATATTCACCAAAGTTACTGCAATGAGAAAAAAACTGGAAAAAATTTTGTTTATTTTCGATCAGGAGTGAACTTAAATTATTAACTTTTATTATTAATTTTCGATAAAAGAACAGCAAATTTTTTGGTATAAGATATGTATGTAAAAGAGTGCGGTGATTAATTTTTATGTTTATGAGTGTGATGTTTGAAGTGTGAGCTTGTGTAAATAGTAGTGTTTGTGATATGTACATATAGTTATATATAATATGAAAAATGTAAACATTGCAAAATATACAATAAAAGTAGAAAAGGAGATAAACAATATTAATATCAAACCAAGAACATGTCTGAGCTATAAATAAAAATAGTCATTTGTTACTATACATGTTTTTGATTTGACATTCGTTCTCTATTTTTATGATCGGTGAGCTCTCATCCTTCCTCACCAAAACGTTACCGAGCGATGTCCAGCAAAACTTATATTTCTGAGTTCTGGTTAATTCTCTAGCCAAGTAGTACAGTCTATTTCCTTTATGTGTCAAATGATCCGACACAAAAATTGGAGTGTTGTTGCCTTTAAACCCAAATGCTGCGAATTGAGTTTATTGTTTTTATTTTGAAAATTATATATTTTTGCAGCGGGCAATATATTCGTTTTCTGTATGTAGGATGACAATTCGACTACTATGGGCTTTTTGTCGCCCTTGTGAGAGGATCTATAAATGTCTTTTATATCGTTGGTTTTGAGTTCAACTTTGAGCTATGCAGACAATTGAGTAACCATATTTATTAGGGATGATTTCCTTGTTTGAACATTGTTTCCTTTTTATCTTTTAAATCCAAAATATTTGGTAATGCATTATCGCATGCACACATTCGTAGGAGTTGATCGGTAGGTAAAAATATTGTTGTGAGGCAATATATGGGGGAGACATATGTTCATCAGTGGACTTTTGATGGGCGGTAACGGTAACGGTGACGGTAACTGTATTGTGGAGGGTAGCTATCGTAATATATTACTATGTTCCAATATGTTTTCAATGCATAATGATTTAAAGTTTACTTAAAAATTTAAAATATTGTTGCATCATCACACAAACAATCGCACAGTATTATATTGTGAACTCCATAAAGCAGCAGTCCTATCGCCAACATGACTTCTATATTCTAAGCACGACACATTTTGTTTAACTTAAATTTATTTTTTTGTTTAAATAATATAGTAATTATCATAATATTTATAATGATAATTACTATATTCAAACCATAGTAAAAAAACTAAAAAATTTAATTATCATACAGTCCTTCTACTCGTGGTATAGTGTTAACACCGCCCTCGTGTAGTTTCATTTCATAAAATTGATTGTTTTTTCTAAATCCCTTTCTTCTCATATTATAAGTACTTATTCTCTAAACACTGTATGTATAATTAAAAAGTACTTGTTTTGATAATTTAGAAATGTTACCTACTTATTATGTATTACACTAACGTTATCTATGTTAGAAAATTGTAGTATTTACAGAATATAATATTTTGAGAATAAAATATTATGAGAAGGAAGGAAAAAATAACTTTGTAAATAACAGTTAGAATTTTTGGCCTGCTGGTCGTAAGACATGTGACATTCGCATTTCAATATTTTTTTGTTTAGGTATGGACCGAAGAGTATGCCGCAGAGGGTTTGCCATCAATTGTTGGTGTATTGACACCAGAGTATAACTATGATTGAAGTCATGAAGTCTGAGTATAACTATGGCGCGAATACAAAAAAAAAAAATATTAGGATTTTTATTGCCATACGAATAAAAATGACCGAGACGCTATACTCTTAAAATTATGTAAAATAATGTTGCCTAACCGTACCAGTAAAAATCATCACAAATACAAGGGGAAGAAACAAACTATCATAAAGTACCTATGGATTGATTGTTAACAAGACGAATACCTATCTGTAATAATTTTTTTTGCATATTTTTGGGATTACCAGACACAAAGTGACATTTCTCATGAAAAAGTTTTATTACACTGGGGAAGTTGGTACTGAGCATCGTGGAGGAGGCCGCAAAAAAAAACAATCCATTCACAACTACATTGCAACATTGAAATATATAGAGCAGGGGTGGCGAATCTTTATGTATCAACGTGCCATTTTAAACTAAACCTAAGTAATAGACATGTCGTAAAAAAATTGACATCGTGAATATTGGGAAAATAATAGTACTAAATACTATCGACTCAAAACTCATTATTTACTACAAAAAATAAATAAAGAGTTTTGAGTTGACACATTTATTATTATACATTGCAAAATACATTTTGCAATGTATATGATAAATGTTTCAGTTATACGCGCAATACCAATTATAGTAAAATTAGTGTGACTTCTGTTGTTGTAGTCCGTGCCCAAAATATTGTAACGCGTGCCATCGATGGCACGCGTGCCATTGGTTGGCCATCCCTGGAATAGAGTCTCACTACTGTAGAAAAACGAAAACAGCTGAACGAAAAATATCTAACTACCATCTGAATTAAATTTGTCTAAATTATTCCAAATGTACAAAGTAAGTGGACATGTACCTACATCCTCTAGTGAAGTTGTCGTATTTCCACCATATTTTAAACACACCGTATAATATTGGTTTTGGAACACCAAAGACCGATGTGTGCTCTACGTGCTTGGAACTTAAGGAAAAAATAAAATTGAAATAGATCAAATTAAGAAAACGTATTGATGATTAAAAAAAGATGTTGATAGTTTGCGAGCGAAAACATTTTTTGAAAAATTACCCAGTGCACCTAAATATGTGAAAGTAATTTCATTTGACTGTCAAAAAACCTGCCCCTTCCAAAATGGGCTATGAAATAAAAAATAAATAAATAGATAAAATCCGTAAAAGTAGTTTTAATCAATGTTTAGTGTTCGCGTAAATACAATAAGAAATCATTATTATATTTTAGAATTTGTATGATAGAAAATATTCCTAATTCTCAACTTATTAGTGCTGAAATTATGTAAGTTATTAACGTAGTGAATAAATTACTTTTTAATCTATAATGTAAAACAATATGAATTAAAATATCCCTATGTATGTAATTATATCGACACAAACTATTTTAAAATTTAAGTATTTGTAAAATATTCGTAATATAGCTATTTTGTAATAAAATTAAACAAAGAATGCAACTAACTTACTTTTTGATACGAGAGAGTGGAGATAAGGGTGGCGCTTGGCGTTCTGTTTCAGACTGAGACGAGCGTGGTAGAGCGCAAGCAAAGGTCACATGTCGCATAGTGCTATAGAACAAAATGGACACTTATTTTGATGATACAAAATAAGATAGGTATTAATTATTTCACTTTTTTATAGAATATGGATGCCAAACGAGCACACCGTCCACTTGATGGTAAATGGATGCTGTAGCCCATAGACATCTAAATTTATCCTAGATTAAGAATTAAAATTCAAATGCGTTGTCACCCCTGAGTGCTAAAATGGAGTGCTTCGTTTCCAGTAAAAAGGGTCAACGGTTCTCTACATGCAGCATACAAAACACAGCAACATCCTACCCCGGTCAAGCGGACACATTCATGCTACATCCATAATGTAGCTGTAGCGTGGCTTTACGTGTAAAAATTACAAATTTTACCATGAAAAACCCAGATTTTTGATCGTTGGCATGTGGTGTGAGGAACACACATTATAATATATAATAAACGAGTACAAATGAGGTAAAAATCTAAGCATAAGAGTTTGTCAAAATCTGATCGTGTCACACCGTTTTTAAATATACCGCACGGCTTTATAAAAGTCGATTGCTGAACATAGACCTCCTATAGATTGTCTCATAGGGGAATATTTGGCATAGTTGCCATGTTTAAAAAGCAAATTGGCTAACACAGTTTTAAATTTTCTAGCTGTTATTAGGCAGTCTGATGAGTCTGAATGATCTCCATATTCTCGTTTGTTTCCCTCTGCTGCCTCTTGCGACGTCCAAGGGGTAATAGTGGATATTCTGACACTGCCACCACAAAATGCCAAAAAAACCTTATGAACTCCGACAGATGGCGTTGTTACCGTCTCGTTTACGCCAGGCCTAAAATCTCTATAGATAAAAATCAATTGGTGTCCGTTAGTCTCGGTAGAACACGCTCGACCGATTCTGATAAATTTTTTGTGTTTTTTTGAGTGGGTAGGTGGCGCTGTTGTAGAGATCCAGAAATCACTAGTGCGAAGCTGGGACTGCCACCACTAGGTGATAATTAAATGTAATATATTTAACATATGAATAGATTTGTGGTTTCTATCTGTTATAATAGCAATAAAAGCTGTTGCAAAAGTGCTCAAGCAAAATTGAGCTGTTTGCATGCCATTAAGAAATGAATAACCATTTTTTAAAATTATGTCTGTATGTCTGTCGGTTTGTCTGGAATTGGAACTGGAACATATTGTAACGGAACTTCACAAACAGATGGAGAGCAACACCAGGAATAATCTAGGCTATATTTTATCCGAGATCGATTGTTTGGAGATAATTTAAAAAAATTGAAAAAAAATTTTGATTATCTTCAATCTAAAAAACGACATAGGCGAATCCGGGGCGGGTCCCTATTTAAAAAAAATAAAAAAAAAAATTTCCCATTTACTCGTATGGAAGCTGATTATCGCCAGTGAACATTTCTCGGCGTTCAACGTAGTAAAAAATGGATGAGCGATAAATGAGATAGCGCATTATTCGAACTTGTTTGTTTTGTTACACATACTTGTAAAGCCGAAGTTAATTCTGTGAAGTATTAGTTAAAAATTAGAACATTTGAATAGGCGATATAAATATTAAATAATATTAACTGCATACTTATACATAAAGGAGACAATTTCTTTTTGTATGTAGAATGGGCCCACTGTAAATTATGGCGTAATTTTATGAAATGCATGTTGATTTATAAATTCTTTATAATCTATAGATTAAAATAGTAATATTAGTTTTACCGCATCTAACGGGAGTACTGAGAAATTAACAATTAAAATATGAATATCACAATAATCTAAACACACACTAAAAGCGTCTGTCTAGTAGTTTTCACCAGTATTATAAGTGCTATGTTCAATAATTAATAGTATAATACAAAGTTGTAGGTACATTTAGCATATGGGTACTTTAAGGTTGACAGAAAATTCTTTTAGTAGTTCCGGAAAAACATATTGCTTAGACAAACAAACGCGGTGCGGAAGCTATTTTTTACGTGTATTGATTGATTAGTGAGAATTAATCCCAAACACTATTACAGTAATTAAAGAAATATGATTAAAACCAAGATGACTAAGGAATAATATATTCATAATACGTTTTCAAAAATATTTATCTTTTTATTATACAAACTGCGAAAATGCTTCGTTCCACGCATAAAAGTAAAGTAAAGTAAAGTTACAGCCTATATACGTCCCACTGCTGGGCACAGCCCTCCTCTCATTTCTGAGAGGGTATTAGGGCAAGGAAGTGTCCACCGCGCTGCCCCAATGCGTGTTGGCGGACTTCACAAGTCTTCGAAATTTTTTTTTCTTATTTCCCAGACGTGCAGGTTTCCTCACGATGTTTTCCTTCACCGCCGAGCACGTGGTAAATTAGCACTTAAAATTGCAATTAACAATTTCATTGGTGCCAGCGGGGATCGAACCCGGTTTGCTCGCGTACTGTGCAATTTACAGCGAGCGCTAACCATTTGAGCTACCACGGCGAACTATATATATTCCATTCCAATTTCTAGTCGGCCCAAAAACGATTGTCTCCTTTACGCAGTTAATATTATCTTCTTCTTAATATATATAAATTACGTGTCACGTTGTTTGTCCGCGATGGACTCCTAAACTACTTAACCGATTTTAATCAAATTTGCACACCGTGTGAGGTTTGCTCCAACTTGAGAGATAGGATAGTTTTTTTTGCACATGGGTGGCCCACAATTTTTTTTACTAATTTAAGGATTTTTAATAGGACATGACAAAAGGGTCGTCGAAAAGGGCAGAACAACGTCAGTAAGCTAGTATACATTATTTTATCACAATGGACTTTGTAAAAATTAAAAATAGTTAACAGATACTGATGGAATATTCGAGACTAGCAAATCTGTCACCTATTTGTGTCTTGCACAAATATGTACTTTGAATAAATCGATAAGTCTAATGCATGCGTCCGTCTATACGATTTTCGTGCAATTATCATTGTCGTTTTTGACACATATAAACATAAAAAAACCTTTTGGTGAATCCAAATGTGCCTTAACCGCTCATGTCAAACGTCAATTTTTTACATTGAAGTAATATGTACTTACGTACAGTACATAATATCTCAATGATTTTTTAAAGTATTTTACAAAAGTGCACGACTCATAATGCTCATATGACTACGAATAACCTTAGAAAAAAATTCTTACTCAACAATAGATTTTTTAATATTACTATGTTTTTATTATTGAGATTAAAAAATATTATTGTTAATTGAAAAAACTTTTAACAAATATCTTAAAACGCTCGGAAATCAACTTTAATATTATTGTGCGCCTAAGTTGACGTCTGGCACTAGCGCCATCTAGTGTCGGGTGACAAAGCGAGGAGAGCTTTCCAGAAAATGACATGACTAATTTTTCGGCCAACAGTGCCATGTAGTATCAAACAGAAGAATTAAACTTTCTGGAAGCCCCACACTCGAACTTTCTGCGCCTAGTCGGTTGGCGCGCGTATTTACATGAATATTCTGGAAGTTTTGGTGAAAAATGTGTATTTAAAGGCGCTGCAAGACGCGGTCGGGGCAGTATTGAATTTGGCGAGACAAGCGAAGCTTCGGAGCGAAATAAAGTGAATCAGTGTGATTATTAGTATTTTAAGTTTTAATTGGTGTAAAGAAAATTAAAGTGTAAAGTTTGGTAATTCAATCGGCAGTTTTTATTGTCACGAACCTCAAGCTCGTAACAATTGGTGTCAGAAGTGGGATAAAATCAAGCCGATTTTACCTACGGACGAAATGGAGGGTGTTCGTACCCGAAGTCAACGACAGCAGGAGACGGACCAGAGACAATTTGGTGGTGTAACGCCGCAGATGTCTGAGGGCCAGCCGCCGGCCACGGAAGCTGGCCCGTCAGCAGCTCCTACGTCTGTGGCACCTGACTTAGGTGCTCTGATGGTGATGCTGCAGCAGCTGCAGCGCAGACAGGAGGAACAGGCCCGCCGATTGGACGAGCAGCTGCGGGGTGTACAGGAGGAACAGGCCCGCTGATTGGAAGAGCAGCTGCGGGGCGGACAAGAGGAACAGGCCCGCCGGCAAGAGGAACAGACCCGTCGTTTAGAAGAGCAACTCCAACGCGATATGGAAGAGCAGATGCTCCTCATGAAAGACCTTCACGCTACCTTCGGAAAAGAGATAAGGGAGGTGAAAGATAAGGTTGCTCAACATGACAACCGCCTGTCGGAAGCTGAAACCCAAATCAACCAAGTGAAGAAAACGCTGGACGAACTCAAACTTGGAGATGGAAGTACAGCTCCCGTAGTAGCTACTACACCTTCGCTACGTGGGTTCAAAGTGCCGCCGTTCGACGGGACTTCTTCCTGGTCAGCCTACAAAATCTGAAGCTGTTATGAAGGCGAACGGCTGGAATAAAAGTCAGGCCAAGACTAGGCCTGCGTGACCAGGCCTTAACAGTTCTGGAAGCTCTCGGTGAGGAAGTGACTTATGAGCAAATCCTTGAGGCATTGGAGGCGGGATAGGGCGACGCTCACCTAAAACACGTCTTTCGTGCGCAGCTTAAAGATCTCGTGCAGCGCATCAACGAAAACCTGCAGCAGTGAGCTCTAGAGGTGGAGAAGCTCGTGCGAAAAGCATACCGGTCTGTACCTGCGCTCATTGAAGGAACCTGGTGCAGATATTCATCGACGAAATCCGCGACCTGGAAGTCAGAGCTGCTGTGAGGCTCGGGCACCACGAGACGCTTAAGGACGCCTTGGGCCATGCACTGGAGGTGGAAGCCGTGCGGCAGGATCATTGTTCCCATTGTGTCAGGCAGGTTGCAGCACCTACAGTTCGCAACCGCAATAAAGGATACAGCCCCAGGTGCTATGGCTGTGGGAAAAGGGGCCATCTTCGATCCAGCTGCCCTAAGCGAACTGTAGAAAGGGAAGTTGATCGCTCTCGAGAGGGTAATGCAGCTAACGACACCGCCTGGCGGCGGCAAGATCATCGTTCCCCTCACGTTAGGGAGGTTGCAGCAGTTACGGTTCGCGATTAC